GCTGCCTCCATCTCAGGCCAACTGTCAGCAAAATAAGGACAACTGGCTTGGGACAAAGGCCAAATACAATCGGCACGGCTTGGTCACAGTTACTGTGAAGGGGTCCACTTTCGAGCCAGGAAGGAGCTAAGAATGGTTCTCACAGGTGTGCACATACCATCACCTCATCACACGTGCGCTGAGCGCTGCCCAGGTGAGGCCCAGGGTCAGCGGCTTTGTAGGGGTGCCTCACTTTGAGCCCACCACCAACCTCACATCTTCCAGAGGAAATCAGAGGCTTAAAGTGAGATGATGTCATCTGTCCAAATGAATCCAGCAGGGAGGCGGAGAGCAGGAATGACACCTGAGGTCTGTACAAGTCCAAGGCCCACGTTCCTTCATGATCCTACACAGCATCTGGCCTATATGAGGGCGACCCTCCTGTGCTAACAGCCTCCCCACCAATGCAGTCCACTCTGCCCTCCCTCCATCCTAATCCCTTCCTACCACTCTCTTTAAGTGTGTTCTTTTTATTTTAATATAGGTGATACTTTCAACAACATGGATTAACCTCAAAATATTATACTAAGTGAAGATGCCAGACACAAACGACTGCATGTTGTATGATTCCATTTGTATGAAGGCAAAACGATATAGACAAAAAGCAGGTGCATGGCTGCATGGGGCAGGAACTGACTACAAATGGGCTTGAGGGAACTTTCTAGAATGATGGGAGTGTCCTGAAACTAGATGGCGGTAATGCTTGCACCACTGTATGAATTTACTAAAAATCACTGAACTATACAATTATAATAAATGAATTGTATGACATATAAACTTATGCATCAAGAAAGCTGTTTTTAAAAGGTGGTAATTGCACACATTTTTAAAATATATAAAATGAAAGACGGTCTTTCAGAAATGTGATGACTCTGCCACCTGACCCTCCATCATCACCTCTTCCTTCCAACTCCAACATGTACAAGTTCTAGACTTCTCCTCAACCTCTCTGCCTCCACTGAAACCTGCCTACCTGCCTCCTCTAGGCCCCTAAGACACAGATGCTCTTAAAGTCTACCTGGGAGGAGGCGGTGGCCCCCTTTCTCTCCACTACAACCCCAAACTCCAGGCTAGTAGAAGGGAGTGGGCATCA